CAGCTACATCATCATTATCAGATAATAAATAAAATTTAAAAATCACATTTAAATCATTAAAGAGAACAACGCACCATACCCACACCAGTGCATTACTCCTCCCAGCACCTTACCCACAAGGTCAGAATTATCCCCATTTTACAGAAGGAGAAACTTGAAGCACAGCGAGTCAAAGCACCTTACCCAGCACCAGTGATGACATGCAGGCCTGGGTTTAGTCCTCCATCTATGCTTCTAACCAAAGGAATGGGCACTAAGCCCAGGACATTCCACTCCTAACACACAAGTCCTGTCTGCTTGAGCTATGCAGGGACATATCGCTGCTACTGCTCCTAGTAGGGTTTTTCTCTTCCATGGTTCTATAGGCGCTCAGAGGAATAAGGCTCACAAAAGTCACTGCAAAAGATTGTGGTAAAAATATTTTTCATTTTATCAAAAACAATGTTTTGAACAAGCTAAGTGAGAGAGAAAACATGGTAAGTAGGAATCAACCAAAGGCAACGTAGAAATCAAGTGAATTGGACAAAATACATGAGGGAGATACCCTCTCAATGGGAGTCCTCTTCTCAGCTTGTTACTAATCCCACAGACAGTTCAATATCTGACCCATGAAAAATGGTAGCAGCACATAACGGAATGAATGGAGCACAAGTTCCCACACTGTGGTCTGTGAACCACTGGTGGCCTGTAGAACACTTGCTGGCGGACCACAGAGAGGGGGCTCTCCTCATTTCCAGCTGCTAAACTGCATTACAAGAAATTGAACATACATGAAATACTTCCTTAAATGTTTAAAACAGCAAGTAGTCTTGTGGCACCTTAGAGACTAACATGAGCTTTCATGGGTAAAACTCACTTCATCAGATGGGGAGGGGGTTGTCCACGAAAACTCATGATTCTATATATTTTTGTTAGTCTCTAGGGGTATGTCTACACTACAGTGTTATTTCAAAATATCTTATTTTGAAATAGTTAATTTGAAATATGTTATTTCAAAATAACGTGTCTACACATAAAATGCATTTCAAAATAGCGTTTTGCTATTTCGAAATAGCGCGTCCACACTGAGTGGACACTGAATCGCATTGAAGGCCTGTCGGAACCAGGTCAGGAGTTACTTTGTGTGGCTGGCTGCTGCCTGAGGCTATCTGAGGTCTGTGCTTAAAGGGACCACCCCCGGACAGCTGGTTCTGCTTTCCCTGCTTGCTTGCCTACCTCGATGAGGGACAGCAAAGCATTTTGTCTCTGCATGCTCTGGTTACCCTCACTTGGGACACCACAGTACTCTGCAACATGGAGCCAGAGCTGCGCCTGGGCACTCTGGTGCTTCTTGTGGACACGTTGCTGCGAGTCTGGCTGTACTTTCTGCAGGCTGCCATCCAGGAGGTCCATCGGGGGGCTGTCAGCATCCAGGAAGCCCTGCGGGAGAGCTTCCACCCTGAGGAGCACTAAGAGCCTTCCTGGTCTTCCCCCCGGGGGGCTTGTGCCTCATTCCTCCTTCATGTCCTTCCACTTACCCCTCCCTAACCCCCCTTCCTGATGTCAAATAAAATACATGCATTTTCATGAACACAAACTGTTTATTTAACAAAATTGGGGGTGGGGGGATTAAACTCTGGTGAGACTGGGGAAAGGAGGCAGGAGAGGGGAGAAGAGAGGCTGGGAGAGGCTAGGGGGAAACCTGGGAGGAGGGAGCTGGAAGGGGGAAGCAAGGGGAAGAAGGGTGAGAGGAAGCTCAGGGTCTTGCTGGACCAATTTGATTTTCACGCAAACCTGCTCCTGGGTTTGCATGTGGCCTTTGGTGGCCAGGCTGGCAGCTATCCTGCCATAGACGACCGCGTTCATCTAGTGTGGAGATAATGGATGTTGGGGCCAGCCCCCCCAATCCTGAATAAGGTCCATGATCTTCACCCTGGACTAGGAAGGCATCTGCCTTCTCTGGGCCCTGGCAGGCTCCTGGGAGCTGTCAGGCTGCTCCGGGGGAGTGGCAAAGGGCTGGTTACCAATGGCTTGCTGGCTCATGTTTTGGGGCCACTGGTCAGGGGCTGCTGGCTTTGGGCTGGCAGGCTTGGAGCTGGCACAGGCACTGTGGCCAGAGTCAACCCCTTTAAGGGCTCCGGAGAGGGAGGAGGGAGAGAAATTTTCTTAAAAAAGTTTCTTTAAAAACCAGCTCCCCTTGCAGACCAGCTGCCTGTCACTCCGCGCTGCTGCTTCTGATAAAGAGGCAGCAGCGCAGGGTAGCAGCAGCCCCTGTCCAGGGCTGCGTCTCAGCTCCCGGACCCTGCAAGAGCTGGAACTGAGCTGAGCTGCCCGCCTGACTGCCCAACCCCTAATATCCTTTAAATGCAAAGCCACAGCATGGGTAGGTTCCAGACCCAGTGAGAGCCAGGACTGAGCCAGGTTGCCTGCCCGCCTAGCTCCTAATACCCTTTAAATGCAGAGCTGCAGCAGGGGTAGGTCCCGGACCCATCGCAAGCCAAGACTAAGCTAGGCTGCTGGCAAGCCTGCTAAAATATTTAGGCTACTTCTACACTGACAGCTTCTTGCACAAGAACTGTTTTGCGGAAGAGTTCTTGCGCAAAAAGTCTTCCACAAGAACGTGTCTACACTGGCATGTACTTTTGCGCAAGAGCGTCTATGGCAAGAAAGCTCCTCTCTTGTGCAAGAAAGCTCTGATGGCCATTTTAACCATAGGGGTTTCTTGCACAAAAAATTCATGTTGCTTGTCTACACTGCCTTCTTACAGAAGAGCTCTTGCACAAGAGGGCTTATTCCTCATGGGGAGAGGCATAACTCTTCTGGAAGCAGCCCCATTTTCCGACGCTAGACTGTAAATGTACTTGCACAAGAACACATGTGCAGTATAGAAACCCGGCAAGTTTTTGTGCAAGAACAGTTGTTCTTGCGCAAGAAGCTGCCAGTGTAGACGTAGCCTTACTGGCGAGGGGAGTGAGGGGGGAGGAAATGCATGTAGTCTATAGCATTAACCTATAAGCTTTTGCTTATCAGTTAATCAACTACACTATTACATCCCTACACAAGCTAAGTGTCCCCCCAACAGCTCCTGGGAGCTTGGGCCTGAGGCCAGAGCCCTGCAGCATCCCCTTGGAGGACAGAGCAGAGGCACCACAGCAGACCCTGGGAGTGTGGGGTTGGGTGTGAGGGAGGGCAAGGCAGGGTGCCAACAGCAGGGAATGGGCTTGGGGGCTGGTGGCAGGAGACCTTCCCTGGTCCAGCAAATTCTCTTGTTCAGGACCGATCAAGTTCCAATCGTGCTAATCCAGAGAAATCCAACCTGTAGAACCCTGGCATGATGAGTAAGGGATTGCCAGAGGTTATTCGGTAGGTATTCAGTTAACACAGAAACCAGAAATCACAAACACACACAAACCCCTGGAATACAGAGAACACAATGGACTGTGAGATCAACAACCGAAACAATTAACACAGAGATTACTTGTCCACTAGTTGGGAATAGGAAGCCTACTTTCCACCTATCATTTTCCTTGCCTTTTGATTTCCATGCCATAGCGGCTATATACTTTGTTGCTAGCTCAGAGTACAAGCAGACACAATATATCCCTCCTAGGAGGGCAAGTTTCAGGCTCTTTGGAGCAGGAAGTGGGCTAGTTTTTGTTGTGTTTCTGCAGTGCCCGGCCCAGTCACCCCAAGATAATAAAAGGCTTTTATACCTCCTCCTTTCCACTTGTAGCCAGCCTTGTCCATTGCACAGAGTAGCACCCTAGACACTGACCCCTCCCACATGGCAGGGCTACTGACCTTTTGTAAGTGACCTTGTTCAGATGATCAGGGTCAGGAAATCTAGTTCAGTCTCTAAGCCAACCTCTCCCCCCATGCATGTATCACACACTTGCTACACTGAGGTGGGAGTCCTGCCTCCCCGCTGTGTGGAGCCCACCTATCAACAGGTCAGCGAGCTGGGAAGGGAGGCAGGGCAGCAGCAGCCTCCCATAGTCAGCAGAGCCGAGAACTACAGCTACTTGATCCAGTCTCAGCTGCCTTAGACTAGAGGTGTTTGCTCTGTGGTTAAATAACACCCTCTTTTGTCTTGTACAATTCTCACAGGATGCTCACAGACCTGACAGCACCTCAGAGTTGCCCCAACTTTATGAGACTAAGGAACTCCCTGGCAATTTGCCTAGAATTCTGTGGGCTCCCCTGGATTTGCATATCCCCCAGCATCCCCAGAGATTTTCTGAGACTTGTAGTGCCCTCAGCTGAGGAAGAGACACTGTGTGTTTGAGTCCTTCAGAGATGTGCACTGCCTGCATCTGCAGGGCATGCATGGCCAGAGGCTGTTGTTTACGTCACTTGCAGGCGGCACTTGTCCCTGAAGGCATCCCAGCTCTACAAGAAACAAGAGCTGGAGGGACTTCCAGCTGGGTCCGGCTGAGCATCAAGCTGGTCACAAAAATAATGGGTATAAATAAAACATCAGCAAAATTCTATCCGATGCACCATTCATTCACACCAGGCTCCAGCATCTTCCCCTCAGTTTGAGAGGTACGACTCACTCGGCAGAGCACAGCTGGGGCCTGTAGCCACAGATTTGAATTAGCTCTACACCATTCCCCTGTGGAAGCACTGGAAGGCTCTGTGCATTAATGCCTGCTGGGGCTTCCCAAAGGGGGAAGAGTGCATATCGCTGTATCTTTTTCTAAACCATGCTCCTTGTGTCCCCCTCATGTGCCAGGGGAGCTGGTAGCCAGCCCTAGGGCCGGAGGATGCCCTGCGAGAACAAGTCTTTTGTTCCTTCCCTACCTTGTGCACCAGTATATGTGGCCCATTGCTTTGGGTCAGTAGGTTCCACCCATTCAATGCATTTAATCAGCAACAGAATTGACACATGGGGCAGCCCCATACACTTGCTTAGACAGCTATGGAAACAGCCACTCAGAAATTAATACAGTGAGGGGAAAATTGGCTCTCTTTAGCTGTTAGTTAAAGGTGACAAGTGAAGAAAAACAAAATTGGGATTGTGTCCTTGATTGTTTCTTTATTGTGGACAAAGCAGGGTGGACAGTAGGGGATATTTTTCTAGAAAAGAGAGAGAGATTTTTTACTGTAGAAATCCAGGCCTTGTGAAGCCCGGAAAATTCTATGTTTGCTAGAGAGCACTAGTAGAATTCTGACATCACCCGAGAGCAATGGAAAGGGGATTTTTACTTGATTAAAATGGTTTGATTTTTGTTAATGCCTAACACAGACCTCCTCTCAAGCACAATTTCTGCACTTCTCTCTTTTTATGTAAAAATGTGGCTGCTCACAATAATGACCTGAGATTGTGTCCCCCCCGGTCTTTCAGCAAAAGCAGGGACACTGGATTTGATATGCCTAAAGTATATCTAAGATATCTAAGGTAAAAATGAGCATAAAATACTAAGGAACTCCAAACCTTTCTAGTCTATTGTGTCCAACACAAAGAAAAGCACAAAAGGGCACAACTCCATGTAAAAATAATCTGCAACCTCGTTAAGCTTTTTCAGCTTTATCCTTCCCACTATCTACCCGCTGCAGTGTATTTAAATGGAATGAAATGCAAAGTCAGATCTGGAGAAGTGTGCCTTGTATTTCATTAGCTTGCCCAGAGACCGCAAAACAAAAATAGGAAGTCTTGTGTTTTCTGCCACCCCCAGACTCTGGCTGTGCTGAGAGACTAGATCATTAAGGCTGAATGCCAAGGTGAAAATAATCCACATTTCTTTTTTTTTTTTTTAAACTTTCTAATTGAATGCAAAGATGGTGAAAGGTTCCAGATTGATAGCCCTGAGGGACTGAAGGTCTCTGGCTATGTGCTGTACAGAGCAGGGAGAGCATGGGTCAGAGCTATTTAAGTCTTCCCCATACACTGTCCCTTGTCTGTACAAACATCCCCAACCCAGAGGGAGCCCTGTAGGATGAGAGGGGTAAAAGTATGCATGATCAATTCATCCCTGACCTCCTTGATCTGACAAGAAGGCCAATTAGTGTGATGAGTTTGTATGTGTTGTGGGATGATGTAACAATTTAAATCACCAACTCATTTGAAATAATGCCACTAATCAGATATCAGATGGTTGTGATAGTCAGTCACTCCTAACTTAGACTGGATTTGAAATATCAACTTGGACAGGTAAAGGCTTTGGCCCAGATTCACAAAGATACTTGGGCACCTAACTTCCCTTGGTTTCACTAAGAGTTAGGCACTTAAACAGCTTTGTCAGTTTGGTCCTTTATATCCTATTGCCAGCTCCTTGAGCAACCCACTTCCTTCAGATGGTGCAGTCCTTCTACAGGGTTTAAAAAGCAGCGTGCCTGAGGGGAGGGCTGCCTCTGGAACTGGATGCCTTCATTTACATTTACACCAGTGTGGGTTTCAAATCATCTTTGAAGTTGACGATGGGCTGGGGCCTGCCATAAAGCTTTGCCCAATGGGCTAGGGACCCGCCAGACTCTGGATCTGTGTCCGTGGTGCAGCTGTCACTGGAGTCACCGGGGCTGTGAGCGCAGATTTCACAGCGAGGCCTGTGGCAGCAGCTGAACGTTTCCTCAGAGCTGCTACTGGAGTCAGAGTCTGCATAAAAGCCCAGGGAAGGCACAAAGGGTTGTTTCAGGTCCCTCATGGCACCCCTCTGCTGCTGCTGCAGGAGGCTGAGGGAGCTGTGGGGACACAGCAGAGCTTTGTGCTTCTTCACTTGGGAGGAGTCTTGGTGTTTGCTTGAAACATGGCCATTCCCTTCACAGATTTGTCCCTCAGACCAATTCTTCCTATTCTCCAGCTGGAAGTTGCACATGTCAGTGACTGAGGAGGGGGGTGGCTGACAGAGAAACCTTCCATCATTGGTGTCACCTGCTTTAACCGGAGATGACTGTGTTAATCCATCATGGCTCCAAGTGCTCTGACTGCTCTTTGTCCTGAGGACTGCCTTGTTCATGAGACACCAAGCTTGTTGGGTCCCGGATGCAGGGAAGTAGGTGGAAGGTGGATGGACTGGGATTCGTCGTCTTCGTCGTCTTGTCCTGTAAGGACTAAGGTATGTGCAGGTGCCTGTGTAACTCCCCCAGGATCTCCATGCTGCATTCTTTTCATGTTCTGCCTTGTGGCTGGGTTGCCTCGGCCTCCTGGGAGATGCCTGGGCACTACCCATGCCACCAATGCTCAGCTCCTGCAAGATTTCCTGCAACTTTTCACTGCTCACATAGTTGATCTTTGGCAGCTGCTCCTTGGTTGCTGCTGAGTCGTCTGGTTCCTCTGCTCTTCCATCAACTCCTGAAAGATTCTGGCTCTGTGGCACTGGCAGACTGCCCGTGCATTGTTTGTTTGGAAGACTCCATTGCCCTGAGACGTCTTTAGAGCTGTATTGAGAGATGTCCACAATGTTACAAAGCGGTGCCCAATGGCAACTGAGATCTTCTGATGGAGTGTTTGGGTGGTTTGGGTGTGTATGGTCCTGACTGACACTAACACAATCTTGTTTCCTAAGAGATACTGGACTGTGTTGCGTATCTCGAAGACTGAGACACTGCCAAGGATTCTGCTCCTGACCCTGTGGAAAACAGTCTCTATGCAGCTCTTCTGCTTCCACAGCACAGCCATGCGATTCAACCAGGTTATCTGTGTTCTGAGGCAAGATGGAGATAGATGTGGAAAGAACAGGGAGATCCATCAAATCATAGCTGCACTCTGCAGACATCAGCCTCATCAGCTTCTCCTTGGCACTGTTTACTTGCTCCTGGAGGCTTTCGATCATAGCATCTTTCTGTAGCAAATCACAGAGAAATAAATCCATGGAATTTGGGGCAGAAAACAAGACTAATGCTACATTAAGGGTGAGGCTTTAAAGACAAACAGGACATGAAGTCAGTCTTTGACAGAGGAAATGCTAGAGTGGGAGCCTTTTGGGCTGTCTATTTTTGAAATTCTACAGCAGCACAGTTGCAGTGCTGCAGCTACACCACTATTTCACTTCAGTGTAGACATTAACTATAGTGACAAGAGAGGATCTCCCAGGGGCCTAGGTAACCCACCTCCCTGAGAGACAATAGCTAGGTCAACAGAAGAATTCTACTGATCCACCACCACAGGTGCTGAAACCAAAGCTGGTGGGGGTGCTGCCCTCTGTTCCCCCCCCCCCCGGCTTGAAGTGGTTTTCACCATATTCAGGGTATTCAGTTGGGTTCTACGATTCTCATCATCCAGACTATACAAATTGTTCCAGCACCCCTTTCCTAGCAGTGCCTACACTAGGGGTTAGGCTGACTTAAGTGTGTCAGTCATGGGTATGGATTTTTCACATCGCCAAGTGATGTAGGTGGGTCAATTTAATATTTGCATATAGACCTGGTCTTTGAGCTGTCTATGTAGAACAGGTGAATATCTTAAGAGACAAAAAGGTGGGACATTAAGAAAACACAAACAGGGGGAAAAATGCTCCACTGGGACCTACTCACTGGGAAGCAAACTATTACACTGCAGTATGGAAACTGCATTTGTTTGCACAGTTTGGAGGATCCAAATACAGTCATTCAAAATCCCATAGAGAACCATCCCCTCCAGCTTCTAGAATTCCAGTCCTGCACAGTTCTACCCCATTAAGCTTCTAGAATTCAACAAATTCTACCATTGGAAATAGCAAAATCATAGTTCTTTAAAACAGAACTTGAAGTATTTACAGCCTGTTTCCCTCTGACCTGCACCTTGTTTCTTTCCTTGCTGCACCTCAACACGTCCCTAAACATTTGTAAGATGGGGCTATTTGAGAAATTGCATACAGAAACATTTGCACCCATTATATTGGAACCTAATGTTCTAACAGCCAAAGCACTTCTGGCTGTGTAATTTGGAGAAAGCTGAAAGGCAGTGGGAGCTGGCGGCCTTCCGGGATAGGACACCTCCCCTTTAAATTGAATCTGTGACAGAGCTCCAAAAAAAAAAAAAAAAATCAGGTCATTTTTCTGCCAGTTACCCCAATTTATGTATCCAGTTTCATAAGCTAGGAAAAGATGTAAAATATTTTTTTAACTCCTTTTCATGTAATATTTATTGAGCCAAGCTGATGCAACGGGAAATGTCCATTTTGATTTTTCTGCCAGTTACCCCAATTTATGTATCCAGTTTCATAAGCTAGGAAAAGATGTAAAATATTTTTTTAACTCCTTTTCATGTAATATTTATTGAGCCAAGCTGATGCAACGGGAAATGTCCATTTTGATCCCTTTGTGACAGAGGGTATTCTAGCCTACAAATCCTTCAGCAGACAAAGGAGGCAGCGGGGAGAGAGTACAGCAGAGGGAGGACAACAGCTGCTGGCTACTGAGCCACGGGGAGATCAATAGCTGGGACTGCTCTTTCCACCAGCATGAGCTGCCTGTGAGTGTAAATTACCTCAGTAAGCAGCCGTTGCATGGAGTTCTTCTCCCCTATCAGCTGGCAGATCTGCTCTTCACTGTACATGGAGTGGAAGCTCTTGCTGGGACTGGTAAAATATTTTGCCATGTGGCTAATGGTTTGGTTCTGTTCCTCCTCAAAGGCTTTCCACTGCCTGAGCTATTGGATGCAAGCATATACACATGAAATGTATAGATTATACACACACACACACACACACAGAGCCAGCCAGACTGATGCAGTGAGTCACACACACACACACACACACACACACACACACACACACACACACACACACACACGAGGGAGAGACAAAGAGAGGGCGTGACACACATGCAGAGCAAGACAAAAGGGTAAATTCACACACGCGCGCCTTGATCCTCTCCTCGCTCCCACCACCGCATAGCCTGCCAGTGGTAATAGTAACACCACAGTGCAATGATGTAGTGAACATTAGACTTTCTCGCAGCCACATGTCTGAATAAAGCTTTGCACAGCCTTTGGTTTTAGCTGCTTGCGAAGACAGAGTTAGATCCACAGTTAGATCCTGCCTATGCTACAGCCTCTGTGTTGCCAACCAGGGTCCCTTCGAGTCAGAAACAAAGACAATATCGCACACATACTTTCTTAATCTTGAATCATGAATGACATGTTGAAAGCCAACACCACTCAACATCTGCGTTTGTCACTGGCGTTAGAATGAAAACCAAGGGCACCCAGTCTCCAGCTGTTATCTATTGCAGATGAGAGATGGAAGAGCAAAATAAAAGGTGAATTAAAAACTTTGAGCTAGATAAAATGCTCAAGCTCCCAGATCAGCAACAGAACAACTGTGCGTGCAGGAACTCTATGGTGAATTGCATGGTGCAGCTCAATAGCTGGAAATCAGCTCCTCCTTCATTACTTGAAAAGAAATTATTTGGATAGTACCCACAGGATGCTAGGCACTTTACAGAGAGGATCTGCTTCCTGTTTAGCTAACCAGGACCCTGCAATTCCACTGCAGCATTTGATCCTTGACACTACTGATCTATCACAGAGCAACTTCCAGCTCTCTCTAGACAAAATTATCGAGGGCATGAGTTTCTGAAGAAAAAACAGGCACTTGGCCTGACCTTGCATTGTCAGGGAGAAATAAAGGTGGGAATTATCCGCAAATACTTGGGTATAAATGGAGTGACTTCTTGTGCTTCAGTTTACGCATGAATTTTGCTATTGAGAGGAACATAAGAATTGCCAGTACGAGTCCATTATCTTGTCTCCAACAATGGCACATACCGAGGATTTCTCAGAAAGGTGCGAGAAACCTTATAATGGACAATTATGCAATTAGTTGCTTATGGCAAAAGTTTCCACCAAACCCTTCTCAGTGGTTGGCTTCTGCCTTATAGATTTATCTATCACAGATAGAAAATATGGATATTTTTTTTATCATCAACTTAAATAACATTCCTTTTTAAAATGCTGCAGAGTTCTTGGCCTCTTTGATAACTAGTGGCAGTGAGTTCCAGGGGTTATCATTAGGGTTGCCAGGTGTCCGGTATTGACCCGGTATTGACCCGGACAGTCCTGTATTTTCGCCTCCTGTCTGATAAAAAAAATTCAGAAAATACCGGACACCTAAAATGTCTGGTATTTTCTGATTTTTTTCGCCCCCATCCAGAAAGTGAAAATACCGGACACCTGGCAACCCAAAGACACACTCAGCAACCGGGCCCAGCCTCCGAGCCACCCCTCCAGGTCCCCAAACCCACTGGATCCTCCCCGCTTACACCCGGTTCCACAGGGAAATTGTCTTCTGGCTTGATCAGGAAAACCAGATGGTCACCAGCAAAAAGCGTCAAAGGCTTTTTTTAAAGGGGCCATGCTGTTTTGTTTTTTTTTCTTACTAACTCCCGGGGTCCTTTTTTTTTGCTTAACAACTTTGCCCCCCCACCAGAAATTTTTCCCCAATGTTTTTTTTTGGGGGGGGGAGGGGCAGGGGGTGTTCAGTATTTTTAGTTAAACCATCTGGCAACCCTATTAATCATACAATGGGAAAAATAAAATTTTCTTTGAATCAGTTGTTTGTATTAGCCCTGTATTATGCAGTAAAGAGAAAGACCAGATTTACCATCTCTCCGCATTTCGTTATTTTATGTACTTCTGTCATGATATGGGAGCTTAAATGGATATTTTGAAAAATGTCACTAATTTTAAAAAAATTATGTGCCTACTGTGCTGGTGAAAGGCACTGACTCAACAGTCCTGGAGACTGACTGCCTTTAACCAGAGAGCATGACCTGCTGCTGCCTGGGTAGTTTATTTTTCCTTGATTCTACTCATACCCATTTTCCACTCAGCCCTAAAAAAAAAAAGGTACCCTCCCTAGAGATAAGAGGGGAATTGACTGGTGCATTCAGTGCTTGCCCCTCTGAAACTGCAAGCCTGGGCTGTGATAGTGTTTCTGTGAGGTGGTCTGTTGTCCACTAATTAATTTCTAACGAGCCAGCAGAGATGCCTTTGGCACTGCTTGCAGTTCAGATCAAAACAAACTCTGCAAGGGACAGATTCTGTTACCCCTTGAGTTAGATATTTCCCGTCCTAGGAATCTTGCTCCAGTATTCTTGTCTCCTCCCCACTGGCCTGATCATAGCTTTCACTGGGTCCAAGTACACAGCAACACATTCTCCTCCTGCTGCTGTTCCTCCTCATCATTTGACCACCAGCGTCCTCATCAGAACAGGTGCAAAGTAACAATGCAGCTTGCACGGTACTGAATGGACAGTCCAGGACAGTCCAGGACTCCCCTGCCCATTCTGAGAAAGGGAGAGAGAGAAGCCAAGGCAAGGTTCACTCAGGTAATTTTATAGGGAGAACTGTCATCTAGTGGTAGAAGATGGAAACTGAAAATCAAAAGTTCCAGTATTTCTGGCTGTGGCAGGCAGTGGCTGTGTGGGTTCAGGCTGTCTCTCGCTGTGCGGCACCTCCATTTCCCCTTCCATAAAATGGGACTCACAGACCTTCCCAACCTCGCAGGGAATAGTGAGGCTTGCCCCAGGCTGATGAGGCTCTGTAGAAGCTCAGAAGAGAAGGTGCTAGAGGAGGGCAAAGCACTATCTGTTTGGATTCTTTAGGGAATCAGCAGCAGATTTTCGTATGTGAAACAGAAGGGCCTTCAAGTGGAGAACACAAAGTAGGGTAGCCAGAGTGCCTCACCTTCGGGCTGAAGAGAACAGAGGGGCATGTGTCACCCTTCTCTGTAGCTTCCACATGTCACTGAGGGCAGGACTGGGTTTTGGGAGAGAGGCAAGTATCAGACGGGAGGACTCGCCATGGAGATCCAGGATGAGGTGCATCCATCGAGTTGTGGTTGGGCAGAAAGAGCAGGGGAGGGTGCTATGGGTTAGGAGTGAGGCATTTTGCAAGTTGTGGCTGGGCAGAAAGAGCAGGGGGGGGGTGAGGCATTTTGGTGGAGCTCTGAGTGACTCACAAATGGAGTAGCAGGTGGGCTGCAGGTCAAGACTGAGGAACGCCCACTCTTTCCTGGACTTGGTTTAAGGCAGTTCCCTGGCTCATTTTTGTGAGCCCTCAACTCCCTAACAAATATAAAACCCAACAACCCTCCATGTCTTATTAGAGCAAGATGGGGACTGTCTCCACTAACAGACTGAGGCCTAGCACATCAAATTCCTCCTGAAATACAGAGGAAGCAATGAACGCAGCTCCAATAGCCTTTGTAAAACAGCTTCCCCTCCCCCTCTGGAGAGCTGGACTTTACCATCTGAGTCTCAACTCCCTAACAAATATAAAACCCAACAACCCTCCATGTCTTATTAGAGCAAGATGGGGACTGTCTCCACTAACAGACTGAGGCCTAGCACATCAAATTCCTCCTGAAATACAGAGGAAGCAATGAACGCAGCTCCAATAGCCTTTGTAAAACAGCTTCCCCTCCCCCTCTGGAGAGCTGGACTTTACCATCTGAGTGTAGAGATGTCCCAATGGACAGTAAAACCCACTGTCAGCTCAGGATGCATCAGTGCCCGGTGAGACTGCCAGCCTGCATTGCAGCACCCAGACTGGCTCGCTCCCCTGCTTCTCGGGAAGAGGAACACTCTGACTGAGGGGGGAGCAGAGCCACGGCGTAGCGGCTAGGAGGGGCTCAGTGCTCTGGTGATGGGCACAGTGTAAGAACCTCTGCAGCATGGAACAGATTCACCAGTCCCACGGTCCGACTCCACACATTCAACAGGCCGTTGATGGACCCGCTGCAGCCACGTGTAGCTCTGGGGTCATATTCTCCTAAGAGGACCTCAAACCATCACTTCTGAAACACCACAGGGGTGTCATATTAACCAAACAACCCAGGGGCAGCTGGTAGTCACAAGTCCAGGGCTGCTCCTCCCATCATTGTTTGTTAGGGCGGGGGAAGGGAGAGCAGGGGACTGGTAAGATGGGGAAACCTGCCAAATGCCCCCCTCTCATGGCAGGAAGAGCCTACAGCTACCAGAGAGCTAGAAAAACAGCTAATGGCTCCTTTGAAGCCATTCGCCTTCTGCTCCCCACCTCTACAAACTCCTCTGGTGGCTCCTTAAGGACCCTGCCTTAGCCCTGGGAGCAATATGTGGGGAGGTGGAAGCAGATGGCAATGGCCCCTTCTTTTACCAAACCCCATTAGTAAGGGGCAGAGCCACAGAGAGGAAAGGGGGGAAGGAGGAACAGAGTAGCAGAGCCACTGGAGCCCTGTGGGAAGCAGAGGAGGGGTCAGCACACCAAGAACGTGGGGGAGAGGTGTCATTAGGGACTGGGGGACATGCATAGCCAATGGATTGCCGGGGGCTGACAAGAAGGACAGAGCTCCTGGGGACTTGGGGTTATGTAGATGGTCGTGTGAGTTACCCTGGATATTTTGGGGGAGTAGCAGGAGGCACTGGAAGGAAAGGAGCCCTTGGGATTTGTGCTTGGAGCCCACGTGGTTACTGTGGTTGTCCAGGCTCCCTGGAACCAGAGCTTCAAAAGCCCCCCTCCTCCCCCAGGGGTGGCTCAGTTCTTCAGCTTCTGAGTTTCACTAGTCCAAAAATGAGAAAACAGTGTCACTTTTTGTGGGTGACACTTCAGTCAACATTTATCAACCTTTAATTGACATAGGGTTCAAAAAACTGAAGTGCAAAGTTTCCATTTCCGGGGGAAAAAAATTCAGACCCGAGACCTCTGTGTGCTCCTCAGAGCCACTACAGAGCCCCAGGAACGTAAGGACAGGGATAAACCCCAGCTGCCTCCCCAACCCTTTCTGTGGTATGTTCTGGAAGAGAGAGATTGCTGCATAGTTCGCTGGGCTCAGATTTGGGAGCAAGCAGCAGGGAAGGGCACCACCTCCTCTCTCCAGCCACCACTCTCTCCCCCCGAGTCTCAGTTTTCAGTCAAGAAGGAACCAAGCTCAAGGAGTCCAATAAATGAATGCAACATCCATGCTTAAAACCAGGGGCCCTTACATCTCACTTCCCAGAAGCCACTGAGCAGCACGCAGACCACAGTGATTTTTTAGTTGCTAGCAACTTAGATGGATTTGAGCTGATGACCAGCAACTAAAGATGAATGGCTCCGTATCAGAGCACCAGCTTCTGAGCCAGCGAGGGCTTCCTCTCACACTCTATGTTTTTGTACTGCTGAGCCATGCTGGGAGGGGGGGGGGGAGATGAGCATTTCAGAATACATTATCGCCCTGCCCTCAGATCTGAGGAGGCCTTTAGAGAAAAGCTGGTTGCGTACCTGTGGAACAAAGATGAAGCAGTTGATAGTGGTTGTACAGATGAAGATGCCTCCAGATGTAAAACCAAAGACCAGGTTGTGCCAAGTGTAGAAAAATCGGTTAACTAAAAAAACTGTCCCAGCAGCAAGGAAAATGAGGTTGACCCCAACAATAAGGATCAAGGACTGATTCACTGGTGGAGCGCTGACATTATCTGTCAGACCAGCCAGGTATGTCCCGTATATCAACAGGATGCTCTGGAATCAGAAAACAGGGAGAAGGGGTTTGGTTTAGGAGAGGAGATTTTACAGATTTCCAGAGAGGAGAAAATTGAGCCAATGAAGCTTAGCCACATCCGGTGCAATTCTAATTAACACTCTTTGATGTATAATGCAGAAATTCCGTTTGAGATGGTAGCTCAGCAGCAAATACTCAGCATGTTGCTGCATGTCAGAATGGAGGCGCATAGGCCGAGCTGGATGGAGGTGAGGGCAGGACTGCAATAGCAAGGGGTGCGGCAGGACAGGATTGAGGCATATTAGTAGAATTGTACATCCGGTGCAATTCTAATTAACACTCTTTGATGTATAATGCAGAAATTCCGTTTGAGATGGTAGCTCAGCAGCAAATACTCAGCATGTTGCTGCATGTCAGAATGGAGGCGCATAGGCCGAGCTGGATGGAGGTGAGGGCAGGACTGCAATAGCAAGGGGTGCGGCAGGACAGGATTGAGGCATATTAGTAGAATTGTGACTGTAACGCCTCTTCCTGTAGTTCACACAGAACAGTGTCTGTACCAAACACATTACATCTCCAGATGTACTTAACCTCTATTTTTCGCTCCCCAATAACTTGGGGTTTTCCATAGAGCTGTTAGTCTGTACAAAGCTTATTTGTTTAGCTATTATAGTCCTCAAGACTTATACTAACTTGACGAAGCTAATGTCTTACAAAATACAAGCCTGTGAGTTACTTGCATTACTGCTGAATCTAATGTAAAGCAGAATATAATGAAGCAGGAATAGAATCACAGTAAATATAACAGACAAACTAGCCCACCAGCTATAGTGATGCTGATGTCTGTCTTACTAGGAACTAGACCAAGACTCAGATTCACTATACAGTACCATCAAGTAGACATTCCACTATCACAGTTTTCAGCCATAAGCCACCTGTGAACTCATGACAAAAAGGAGAAAAGCTCTACAACTAATCTCTAATCCCCTGAACCACAGATTGTATGTGAAGTCTTGGGCAAGTCACTTCATTTTTGTGGCTGTAAACTACAGCCGGTCCCCGAGTTACGAACGAGTTACGGACCAAACACTTGGCTGTAACTCGAAATGTTCATAACTCGGATCCCATTGAGTTACATGGCAACCGCGCTGTTCGTAAGCACGGATCACGTTCGTAACTCGGGGACCGCATTAACAACCACTTTGGTCATAACTGCGGATGGTCGTAAGTGGAGGTGGTCATAAGTCGGGGACTGACTGTACTGAACTGCCTCCCCATTGGTTGTGAATTTTAATACCCTTGGTCATTAAAAGGGACATAAGTACACAAAGGGACCATTCTCACTTTCATTGGTGTAGATCAATCTCAATTCCAGTGAAGATAATGGAGCTATACAGGGGTGAAATCCCCCTGTGGATGAGACCAGAGTCAGGCTCAGTATACTACTAATTATGGGCAGCTGATATCAGGAAAGAGACTATTTTATTGTTAAAAGTAAGAGCAGAAAGAGTTCATAGAGGCCACAGCTGTAAAGACACCACTTCTGGATTTGGGGAAAACTTAATACCGAACAAGAGCAAAGTAGCTAATGTAAATGATCAGCAGATATACTATCAAAGAGAAAAGCCAAATAATTGCTTATATATTGTGTACTTAAGGGACTTTAATATAGAAACCAATTAGACTGTCAATTGGATTTTGGATTGTAAATTCCTAAATCCCTTTTGAATACGAGGCTATGTCTACACTGCATTCTCATCGTTAAAACTTGTGTTGCTCAGGAGTGTGAAAAAACAACACACCAACCTCTGAACGACAAAAGGTTTAATGATGAAAAACACCAGCATGGACAGCACTTCATAGGCGGGAGATACCCTTCCAGCAACAAAGCTGCCACTCCCTGTTTATGGTGGCTTTATTTTGCCACCGGGAGAGCACTCTCCCAGCAGCGAAGGGCAGCCACACTGTGCACCATACAACAACACAGCTGCGTTGTTGTAAGGTATTTAGTGCAGACACAGCCAAAGGCTCCTTGATACCTTTATATACATTCCCGAAGACCTCTGCTGTGCCTAGATACTTCTAAAAACCTGGGCCTCAGATACCTTAGTTTTCCCCATCTGTAAAATGGAGAAATGACCCTTCCAGAGCTGCAAATGAAAAGTGCCATACAAGAACTAAGGGTTTGTCTACATGGGGAATTTTATCACTATAATTATATTGATATATCAGTACTATTCCCTGCAGGGCACACTTAGGGTATGTCTCCACTATGGCGTGGATCAATGATGCAATGATCAATCCAGCAGGGCCGATTTAGCACGTCCAGTGAAGACCCAATAAATTAACCACTGGTCACTCTCCCATTGACTCTGGTAGTTCCCTGGAACAAGGTGAGTAATAGGAGTCGATGGGAGAGTTTCTGCTATCAACTCAGCATCGTGTGGACCTTGCAGTAGGTAGGTCTAAGCTACATAGGTTTGAATTATGCTACACCACCTGCCCCTGTAATGTAGACCTGCCTTTATGCTGCAGTAGGAATGGCCACACAGGAACTAACTACAGCAATATAATTCAACTGGTATAATCATAGAATCATAGAATACTAGAACTGGAAGGGACCTCGAGAGGTCATCGAGTCCAGTCCCCTGCCCTCATGGCAGGACCAAATACTGTCTAGACCATCCCTGATAAGACATTTATCTAACCTACTGTTAAATATCTCCAGAGATGGAGATTCCACAACCTCCCTGGGCAATTTATTCCAGTGTTTGACTACCCTGACAGTTAGGAACTTTTTCCTAATGTCCAACCTAAACCTCCCTTCCTGCAGTTTAAGCCCATTGCTGCTTGTTCTATCCTCAGAGGCCAAGATGAACAAGTTTTCTCCCTCCTCATGACACCCTTTTAGGTATCTGAAAACTGCTATCATGTCCCCCCTCAATCTTCTCTTTTCTAAACTAAACAAACCCAATTCCTTCAGCCTTCCCTCATAGGTCATGTTCTCTAGACCTTTAATCATTCTTATTGCTTTTCTCTGGACCCTCTCCAATTTCTCCACATCTTCCTTGAAATGTAGTGCCCAGAACTGGACACAATACTAAAATTGAGGCCTAACCAGCGCAGAGTAGAGTGGAAGAATGACTGCTCGTGTCTTGCTCACAACACACCTGTTAATACATCCCAGAATCATGTTTGCTTTCTTTGCAACAGCATCACACTGCTGACTCATATTCAGCTTGTGGTCCACTATAACCCTTAGATCCCTTTCTGCCGTACTCCTTCCCAGACTGTCGCTTCCCATTCTGTATGTGTGAAACTGATTGTTCCTTCCTAAGTGGAGCACTTTGCATTTGTCTTGATTAAACTTAATCCTATTTACCTCAGACCATTTCTCCAATTTGTCCAGGTCATTTTGAATTATGACCCTATCCTCCAGATTAGT